CTATGGGCTACAGCAACCCCTTACCATGAGGTGCACTGTGTGCTCGCTTGTCATCCTCGTTTTATAAACAAAATCGCACGAAAGCTAGACAAAAAGTATCACTTGAATAAACAGCAATTGGAAGTCAAAATCTGTAGGAAGTTGAATTACATGAATCCCCCTAACAAATGAAGAGGAATTTAATAGAGAGCTGTCTAAGCCTGTTAACACTGCCACTGAATTGACAGATCAAGAAAATGACTTAAATTGATTGAAATTATAATTGAGTTGAAATGGCTCTATTTGAAAATGGTGGGCAAAGACAACGAGTACTACTTATCGATAGGTTATGAAAATTTAAAAACTATTTCGCCCACCAGTGTAGAGCTAGAGCGAATATTGTCTTCGTCTGCAATAGGCTGCGCTCGTCTTTGAGTGATAAAAATTTGCAGGCATTAATTTTTCTAGGTTTCTTTTATTTAAGTAAAATTAAGAAGTAATGTTTAATTAAAACTATTTTTTTCATAAGTGAGCTGATTTATGTTTTGTTATAATAACAGTCCGTAAAGTATATTCTATGATAGAATATTGTAATGTTATAATAGAATAGAATCTTTCAAACTATTTTTATGTAAGTAATGTGAAATAACTGTTAACGTGCATCGTGCAATTGTGAAATGAATGTTCCTACTTAGTGAGATGTTTGATTATATTTAATTAGAAAGAAACTATTGCAATTATTACTTGATTAAGTACTTTAACCCACGATTTGCAATAAACTATTTTCTTTGTGAATATTATTATCGTTATTCACATTGAACGAAATAGTCTCCAACCTAATAGAAAAAAAAGAACCGAAAGAACCGGGTACCCGGTTCTGGCAAAATTTTAGAACCGAAAGAACCGGTTCCTGGAAAGGGACCGGTTCTCGATGCCCTAATTATGATATGTAAGTGAAACAGTCAATAATTTACAGTCTTAGTATACTTTCACAGTCATTATCATCATTGTCATGATCATTACAGCCGTTAAGTCAACTGCCGATTAAAATTTTGCTATGGTCCCATATAAATAAATTAAAACTAGATATTTTGGTGTTTGCCAATGGCAAATAACTTTTTTTAATGATCTATTATTCTTCTTTTTCTTAATTGGCTTGTAAAAAGTTGTCTGGAAGAGATCGCTGTTAGTGAAAAGGTCACCCATTGTACCACATTTCTTTCTCGTCTTTTTTGTTCATATTTTTTTTTGGTGTACAATAAAATGTTACCTATCTTTCTATCTAAAAGTACTCTGCTAGAATTGGGTCCATCCTGTTCTAGGGAAGGTTTGCTTTAATTGTCATGCTTGTCAGGCCAAACATTACTAAATGTTTTGCACCTTTGAAGTTACTGCTCATTGCCAGGCTGGGTACTTTATGTGTGGCAAAAGTGAGCTGTTTATAATCCCATCTATCAGAAGTTATAATGGATGAAGTGGCATAATGGGTTCAATTATGTTGAAATCAAATAGCCTTATAACTGTGTACTGTCAAAAGCCGCATTTATCAGGTGTGTGTAACCCGCTCCCGGTTGCAACATAGTCAGGGCTTGTGGAGGGCAATTTTTTTCATTCCAACTGGAATATCTCTAATTCTTATTAAAATTATGGATATTTATTAGTAAAGTATGAGTCTAAGATAACGATTCTACAAATTTTATTCAACTTCTTTATCATTAGTATTAAATTGCACGGTTAAATATAGCCCATAATGTAGGATTATCTAAATTTGATTGTTTTTATTATTTATTGTAAAAATAAAACAATTAATAGCTTCTATATGTTATTTTATTCACAGAATAAGATATTTAAAACAAAAGAATAATACAAACATCACATCTCATCATAGATTTTTTTTACACACCATTTGTTTTTATAAAAAGCACTAACTACACTCTGTTTGATATCCCAAGTGGCCTTCGTATTTCTCAATGGTTTAAAAAGACTCTTTGTATTAGGGTCATACATTTTATGTTTTCAGTAAGTTGATCATATCAGCTACAAGTTAAAATAGCAACATAGTTCTAAGATAAAATACAACTTTAGTAAGAGTTACACAAATATGGTACTTAAAATGGTTTTAGGTACATCAAATTCAAATAGAAAATAAGTTTGCTTCTTAGAAATAACAATGTTGATAAAAATTGTGAAAAAACAACCACTTTAGTCACAATGAGGTTAGAAAAATATGGATACAACTTTTTATTTTTTTGTTGTATGAAATATTTTGAAATAACTTTTTTGCGTTTTAGGATTTTGTGTTAATAAAAAGCCGCTATTGCGAGTCAAAAGATGGCCTTTGTGAGCCGCCACCACCTCCACCAGGCCGCCCACCACGCGCACGTGGACCAGAGGCCCTGCGTGCTCTGTGTCCACCGGCACCTATTCTTCGTCCTCCTCTTGTTGTTGATAAAATTTCATGGAATTAAAAAACGTTTGTACATCACTTTTCAAAAATATTATGAAAATTTAAAAGCCTGTAATAGTACTTCAACAAAAAAAAATAACAAACGACTTTAATTTCATCCCATTGGGCGAATAATATTTTTTCAATGATAAATATCAATAAAAAAAGTAAAATCGGGTAATAAACATGAAAAAAATCAGTCAAATTGAGAACCTCCTACTTCTTTGTGAAGTCGCTTGAAAAATTCTAACACCCAGGGGATATCCATACTATGCTTAGTCCTAAATAAGATCTGTCAAACACTGTATGTGGTGAGACCGATTCCCGGTTTGGAAGTACAGTATATCTATTTTACGAAATTATCACTTTTTAGGTATTAATACATGTTTCACACTAAATCTAAGCTATATTCATTAATTGGGCGACCAGTGCATGATATTAAATTAATGTGTTAGACTTGTTTTAATAAAAATAACACTAAATCTAAATCTTGCTCATAGTTTGACACAAAGTAGGTTTGAAAAAAAGGTCTAAAATTACAAATAACTTAGATACAGCTTTAATATTATTCATAGGAATTAAATATAACTTACCTCTCCATAGTATTTTCCTCATTATCACCCTATTTGATAACTGTTTACCTTTTTTTAACACAATTAAACAAGGTGGTTAGACGTATGTGACCGACGAACTTGTTCTCATAATATTTGACTTTTACATGACGTAATCCGGCAAAATCGCGGTCCAATAGCTAACATGTGTAAGCATTATACTTTCGTAATAAGTTAAAAAGAGAAAGAAATATGGGATAACCCTTAATATAAGCAAGACAACGGACCAGTTATTGGATCCGGCTCCCAGTCGCTTCACAGACGCGCATATTCTGTCAGCAACTGGGACCCGATCGCCTCACAGACGAGAGGTTATTTATGTTGTTTTTTTTTTTAGGTAAAATCATATAAAATATTATTCAGCAATCAAGTACAGATTTAACTTGTGCTTAATAGTGATAGAAAAAGTGAAGCGACCTGCTTGTCAGAGAAATAATGGAGATAAATACAATATACTTCCAAAAAGTTTGAGAATATGTATTGTATTGAAAAATAATGTCTTAAAAATCTATTGTACATATAGTAATGGTGGCATAAGAATATCCACTATCCCTTATCATCCTGTGTGTCGTTAAAGGCAATAAAATGAAACAAGTCAGGAGATGGGTAGCTGTGTCGTCCTTATAATAACTAAAAATGCCTGCCAAGCATGGCAACTATGGCAAATATCCCCCTATGAGGCAATGTATGGAGGAGTCCTATGGTCAGCAGTGGATTTTAAAAGGCTGTAACGGTAACATTAAATAATATAGCAATGTTGCCTACTGCAAATATTATATTGCTTCAAGTTAAAAGCTGAATGTTTACTATACTGATAGCTGAGCCAGTTTTTCATACATACATAGCTTAGCTGGAATAGTATGCGGTAGACGCACATGTATGACGTGCTATGTGAGCTAAGGATAAACTAAGTTAGTTTAGTTTGCAGTAAACATTCAGCTTTTAACTTGAAGCAATATAATATTTGCAGTAGGCAACATTGCTATATTATTTAATGTTGACCTTAAGAATGGCAAGATAGGGGATGACATTTTTATGTAACTGTTCAAAATATTATATGACATTAAAATTTTATATGATATGATATATTATATGATCACAAAGATTTCTGACAAAAGAGGCATTGCAAAGTATGCCAGGCACAGCTAATCTTGTTTAAGTTGCTCTGTAACTACTAAAGAAAATTTGTAAATTGATGCAATTACAAAAGTTAGAAAAAATATGCTTTGTAATATTATGTGCAGATACAAGAATGTTTTTCAGGACAATGAGTACACTTTTACATACATATGGAATGACATCATAATTATTTTAACTAAGTGTCCCATTATTTAAAGAAGGTCTTTGCCCAAAAGTGGGACTTATAAAGGCTGTAACTTAATTCTTTTTTAAGGAAATTTGAAGAAACCTTTGATCAGAACTAGGATATTTATAAGCTACTGCTATACTTAATGTATTGATTTTTTTTATAGGATAGGGTGACAAACGATCACATAGCCCACCTGATGGTAAGTGGTTGCTGTGGCCCATAGACATCTACATTTATCCTCGTTTGCAAATCAAAATGCAGATGCGTTGTCACACGTGAGGACTAAGATGGAATGCCTCTTTTCCAGTAAAAAGGGTCTCCGGTTCTCTACACTCACCATACGAAACTCAGCAGCATTAACCTACCCTGAAATCAATACGTTAAGTTCAAATTCCCAATAAATTATTTATTTATTTAACTTCATGTGAAATATAATATTATGTACATATATGTGAACTTAATGGAATTTTCTAGCACTCAACCTTAAGGTGACGCAGAGATAAAATGAACTTACATAATTTGACAAAAGATAGAAAAGTAAATTAAATTAAACAAATATAAAACAAAAATATACATTCATCAATATGTAAACTTGCATATCTTAAAAACATTTACCATGTACATGATTTATTTAAAAATTTAACTTTGATTTCAGGTGAACGTGCAAATTATGTAAACATTCCCCACGTGATTGCTATGGTGGGTCTGCCTGCTCGAGGCAAGACATACATATCAAAAAAACTATCACGGTACCTGAACTGGATAGGAATAAATACGAGGGGTGAGTAATTTTTTTATCTTTTTTTTTTAAAGTTAAGATATAATGCCTCATTATTTCCTATTATGCACACAGTCCACCTGATAGTTAGTGGATGCTGTAGCCCATAAACATTTACATTTATCCTCGATTAAGAATTAAGATGCTGATGCGTTGTCACCCCTGAGGACTAAGATGGACTGCCCCGTTTTTTATTAAAAATGATCTCCGATTCTCTACATTCACCACACGAAACACAGCAGCATTAACTTGCTCTTTTACGATGGTGTTCTGTGACCACTTAGCACTTTTATATATTATTTATTTCTGTATGTAAGCTGTGATAAATGTTGAGGTAACAATTGTTAAAAATATTTTTAGCATCCTTGTTGTTCAAATATTTGATTGTGCAATTGTTTAATTACCCAAATAAATTAAGAAAATAATCTTAAAAATATTAGTAGTATCGAGTGTGGTACCGAGTGTTTTGTTTCAATCAATTTAATTTTAATTAATAAGTAAATGTAAATTTTACACTACGTGACCAACCCGAGTTAAAGTCCTAAATTAACCGCGTGCTCGGCGATGAATGGAAAAATCGCGAGCAAACCTGCATTTCTAAGAAATAAAAAAAATCGGAGTATGTGAAGTCCACCAACACTAATACCCTCTCAAAAATCAGAGGGAAAACTGTCTGGTCGTTTTTAGGTAAAAGTATTAAAGTAAACAATTCTACACAAGATGCCACAATCACTGTGTTTACGTACATATGGTCTTATTTATAGCGTTTAACTTTTATCGAGGACATCTTTTAAATTTGGAAAATATCTAAATAACCATTTGTACGCATCTTCAGTTTAGCCTTTCATTAAATATCTTTTATGGCAAAAAGAAATGGTGCTCCATTGTAATTTATCTATATAATATCGGATTAGTTTGCAGCTGATAAAAATTCATAAAGGAATGTATAGATAATTTGGCACGGGAAGCTGTCATGTACGAACTCCCTTGGCTAGTGTTCACTGCCAAATAAGATGCACTTAGTACTTATAACACGTATAGGTACACATTAAGCTCAACAAACACGTGGATTGTACTGATAAAGCAAGATATATTTACCAACAATGTGAAACCAATCTTGCGGTTTTTAATTAAACTATTTTTATTTCGCTTTCGCTTATCTGTTAAGTTCGCGTGATCTACTACGAACACGTATTGATTATATACTTACTGCACGGCTAACATAGACCGGGGACAAAAAATTTATCCCCCCATTATATCCACTGACAAGAGATAAAATTATCTTGTCCTTATGCCAAAGCACGGTAACTGGGAGAAAGGTATCCCCGTTTGACATATATCCCCCGTCCCTAACTTGGAGCCAAATGAAAGATAAAAAATTATGCTTTTTTGACATTTGAAAGGGACAATTTTATCCTAGTAATGAACGACGTGGGTTTAAGTTTATATTCATACAAAAAATCTATCTTAGTCTAAGTCTATCTGCCATTTTATCTACTGTGGATATTATATCCACCGGTGTGCCAATGCTCGAAGGGTGGATACAACTAAGCGAAAGGTTAAACACTTTCTCCTTTCCCCGGAAATAAAATTGTCTCCTGCCCATGCTAGCCCTGCTGGGCGTAGTATTATTATTTAATGTCTTTGGTAATACGATAATTCATCTTTCTAAGGACTTAACCTATGACACTTCTGATAAAAAATGTACTATGATTAGAGTGATGGATGGCATAACTATTTAAATGTACTGAGATCAGACTAATAGAGATTGTAGATGTATAACTAGCTCGACGACCCTCTGTCCTATTAAAAAAATCCTTAAATTCGCAATAAAAAAATTTGATGGTCATTTTTTTTATAGGATAGGGTGACAAACGAGCACACAGTCCACCTGATGGTAAGTGGTTATTGTGACCCATAGACATCTACATCTATCCTCAATAAAGACTCAAGATGCAGATGCGTTGTCACCCGTGAGGACTAAGATAGAATGCCTCTTTGCCGGTAAAAGAGGTCTCCGGTTCTCTACACTCACCATACGAAACACAGCAGCGTTAAGCTGCTATTTTACGCTGGTTTTCTGTGAGAGCGTGGTCCTTCCCCGGTCGAGCCGACCCATTCGTGTTATAACTATACTACTAATATAGCTACAGCATGGCTCTACCACGTAAAATCTATCGGGATAAAAACTATCCTATCTCTCAAGTTGGACCAAAATGCACACAGTGTGCAAAAGTTCATTGAAATCAGTTCAGTAGTTTAGGAGTTCATCGCGGACAAAGCAAACAATGTGACACGTAATTTTTTTTATATATAAAGAAGAAGATATATAAAATTAAATATTATGCCAAAAATAAGCTAAGTCTGCGATTGTGTTTGCCTGGACTCTAAACTTCGAGTAAATTGGCAATTGCAGAAGTAAATTACGATACTATAAATTGCACCTGGAATTATAAATATATACAGTATTTTCAAAATCCTCTCTATGAAGCAATCAATAGGACCGTAAGCGGAATGCACCGAAGCCTAAATCACGCTATCAAAGTTCTGAAGTTAACGCGCTATATAAGGGTTATTTTTCAAAGAGTAGTCAAATTTTAAACCAAAGTTCTTATATATTAATAATGATATACAGTTATTGCAGTTTTTGAAAATACGAGTAAATAAGGCTTCTACTTTTATTTAAAACTAGCTTTTCCCCGCGACTTCGCCCGCTTGTTTATTTTTCGCGGAACCCTAAAATAAAAAGCAGCCCAAGTTACTCCATATAACATCAGCTATCTGCCAGTGTGTATACATATTGACAAATATTGACATTAATATTTATACAATACTAACTAACGTCACTTAATTGTTTTGCCTTCCCGGAACCCCTCCACTAACACTTAAACTTTATGGATGGTATTAAAGTTCAAATTGACTTTTATATATTATTACGAATCTTTTGTATGGGAATATAGAAAAGTGTTGTTTTTAGACTTTTTCAGGCAATTTTTTAAATTTTTCTCTCCGTAAGAACCATCTTCGTACTTCAAGGAATATTATAAAAAAAGAATTAGCGAAATCGCTTCAGCTGCTCTCGAGATTTTCGCTTAGCAACACATTCAGCGATTCATTTTTATATTATAGATTATCCCAATTTGAATGTGATTTATGGGCAACAACGTTTTTGCCGATCGACCCTTAGGCGCCGTCCTATTGCCATTGCTCGCGCGATTAGAAATCGTGTGTCCTATTTTGGAGTGAGCGATGCGATCACTCTCGAAATGGCTCTTAACAGAGATGCACAGTTTTTGCTGTCGAGCAATATTTCTTTTATAGTGAATATCATTAAAAAAACAAACGTAAACGTGGTACCCCTCCCTCGCCTCCGCCCCTTAATCGCGCGAGCGCCATTAGGACATTCAGTACCGATTAGTATTTTTGATCGGACGATCGTCCGATCTACATATACGATGCGTCGATAATCGTACGACGAAAATTAGACAATTCGATCGCATCGCATAATCGCACGACCTTCAATAGGATATTCCGCAGATATGAGTATGTTTAAACGCACGGTCGAACGATCATTTTCGTCGGACGCACGCATGATCGCGCGAGCGATGGCAATAGGACGGTGTGATGTGTGCTTTGTGAGTGTGTGCGTGCATATTAATATCAATTAAAATAATGCATTACCACGCATTTTGTACTTAAAATATAAAAAGTACAGAATGTTAGCGTTTTTTTTTTTAATAAATTTTACTTCACCATTTGCCTACATTACTTATTCTGAACCTTCTCTGCAAATTTGGCCGGTTATTGCAAAATAAACCTATATAGAACAGCTCCGAAATAACACACGGAGCGTTGGCCGCTCCCCAGGCTGAACACCTTGTCCGGTGTGAAAACTCTCCTTTTCCTCTCCCATTTATAAGCTGTAATGCATGTATGGATGGAATGGATGATGTTAGAACTTTCATATATTCATTTCGCTATATTCTTCGAAATTTCAAAGAATATAGCGCTATTTGTTGTTTGCCTGACTTCCCTTCGTGTAAGATGTGAGGTTGGCATTTGGAAAAAATTGCAACGTCCTCCTTAAGGACTATAAGGGCTGTACTTTATCTTATTTTACTGTAAGAGTAATTTATAATTATAACTTTAACAGGATAAGTTTTCTGCCGACTTCTTACTAAAACTACCCTACCGTAAGGATTACGGCTACTCTTCCGACTGTACAAGAAAAATAATTTCTGTGCAGTTGAAAACTGTTTAGAGGCTGAAGAGAACTGATTAGCCTTTTTTCTTGGTGAACCGATTTCGATGATTCTTTTTTTATTTGAAAGCTGGTGCTTCTCATATTGTCCCATATAAATTTGATCAAGGTCTGACCAATAGTTTTTGAGTTATTCTTAATAATTTATATTGAAGTCGGCTGTACAAAATTTTAAATTATTGGTTTCACCAAAGGATCATATAATAATATTTTTACAGAATAATGTTACGTACATTCCTACGTGTGTTATTACACTGCTTTGCTAGTTAAAGTATATTTCCTCTCTTATTGTGGCACTACGCCACAAGCGTGGAACAGAAGCAAAAGTGAAGCAAAATATCTTATTTTTCAAAAACAACATTATCGCATTTATGGAGAACTAGCAGATTTCTCTTCTAAAGTGCGTTTACATTTTTTTATACGATAAGGGTGACAAACAAGTACACAGCCCACCTGATGGTAAATGGTTTCTGTGGCCCATAGACATCCATTTATCTTCAATTAAGAATTAAAATGCAGATGCCATGTCACCCTTGAGGACTAAGATGGAATGCCGCGTTTCCAGAAAAAAGCGTCTCCGGTTATCTACACTCACCATACGAAACAGAGCAGCATTAAGTTGCTATTTTACGCTGGTACTCTGTAAGAGCGTGGTCCTTCCCCGGTCGAGCCGACCCATTCGTGCTACAACTACACCAATAATATAGCTGCAGTATGGCTCTACCACGTATGAAAACATGTTGTTTTTGTAAGTCCTTACGAACTGTCTTGCAAGCAGACTTTGTCTTCTAGTCTTCCGGCTACGCTGATTTGAAACCTTGCACTATTCTCAGTTTAACCTACATGGTATCTACCAACGGTTGGGTTCCGAACAGTTAAGTCGTCAGAAAAAGATGTGTTCATGTCACACCTATACGGTGGTTATTAGGAAACTACCCGCACAATTATTGATGAATAGGTCTGAAACGAACATTGAAGCAAAATATGGTGTTTGTAGATTTAATATAACAAATATCACAAAGATTTCATATATTTACGCGAATACTTGACATTGACATTGAAGAATTTTATCGCGTTTAGTTCAAATTAAACGCGATAAAATCCGTAAAATTTATTTTACTCAATAACAAAAATGTTATTGATTACTTCATTTATGTGGAACTTCCGCACGTATTTTGTAAGTTATTTACTTTGTCTTTATTAAATTTTTTTATGTTTTAATAATAAAGCTATCATGTAAACAATTTAGATAGCACAGAGTGTTTTCAGTGTCTTTTTCACTAGGGGAAGAGAACCCACTAGGCAAGTCCAATTTTGACCAAGTGGTTAACCGACTAATCGGACTCGAAAACTCAAAATTTTCAAAATAAGTGTGCGTGTTGTCAGCGATGACCTATAGAATCGAGACATGGTCCTTTACTTTTGGACGCATAAGAAAACTTTAAGTCATTCTGTACGCTATGGCTGTGCTCAGAATTACTTTGCGTAACGGAATCCGTATCGAAGATATTCTCAGTAGAACCAGAGTAACCGACATCGTCCAATGTATCTGTAATGTAATGTAAAGAATGCGCAATAGGCCGGCCATAGCTCAAAGAATCGACAACCTATATAGGAGAAAGGTTCCCGAGTAGCAGGGGCCTGATAAGCGAAGCGAGTTGACCCCCAATAAATGGAGGTAGAACGACGTCGTTGGTTGAGGCCTATGTTAAACAGTGGACCTGTGACAGGTTGTAATGGAAAACCAAATACAATTAATTTAAAATACATATTTATTCGTCGCCAGGGACCTCGCAAAAGTCATCGTACTTGCACCATGTACGTGGTAGAGCCATGCTGCAGCTATATTAGTAGTATAGTTGTAGCACGAATGGGTCGGCTCGACCGGGGAAGGACCACGCTCTCACAGAATATCAGCGTAAAATAGCAGCTTAACACTGCTGTGTTTCGTATGGCGAGTGTAGAGAACCGCAGACCCTTTTTACTGGAAAAGAGGCATTCCATCTTAGTCCTCAAGGTTGACAACGCATCTGCATTTTGATTCGCAAACGAGGATTGATGTAGATGTCTATGGGCCACAGCAACCACTCACCATCAGGTGGACTGTGTGCTCGTTTGTCACCCTATCCTATAAAAAAAAAAAAAAACAATTTTAGGCCCCTGCAAAACAAAATACAAAACTGTGGTTGCCAAACTGCCTGCCAAGCGTAGAAACTATGGCAAAATTCTTCTTTTAAGGCAAGGGGATCTAGGGGAGAAGCCTATGTTCAGCAGTGGACTTTTAATACGGTATGAAAAAGTAATGGTAAAACGGAAATGGTAATTCTGGCTTACCCATTGTCTCGGGAAGCAAGAAAGCTGTTCAAGATGGTCCAAAGAGGTAAACTATAATGAGGTTTGCATGATAACTGGTTTATAAAACCCTTTATAAGTTAAAAAAAAAATTAAAAAGTATCATTCCCAAATCAAAAGGTGTTATTCCACAGTGTTCAACCTGGGCGAGTACCGACGGCACGCCACGACAGCGTACACGAGCCACGAGTTCTTCCGCGCTGACAACAAGGAGGCGATGGCGATCCGGCAACAGTGCGCTCTGGACGCGTTACACGACGTCTGCGAGTGGCTCGTCAAAGGCGGCGAAGTCGCTGTGAGTATCGAGATTTAAACGCATCTTTTTGTACCTCATATCTCTCGTTATCTTTCGATAAGTTAAAAACTAAAATAAAACAACTTACGACATTTAAATATTTACCAGTAAACATCACCATCATCATCAGTACAGCCCATCACTGTTGAACATAGGTCTCCCCAAAAGAATGCCACAAAGCACGATCCTTAGCCACCTGCAACTCTCACCATGTCGCCACTCTATCTAGTGGAAGTTAGGGTTACCAGGTGAAAAAATCAAAAGTCCGGAGAAAAGGCCTGATTTCCAATGAAAAATCCTGAGATTTTTTACAGTTTGAGAAAAAAAACTTACTTAAAAAGGTATTTTCACATATCAAATATGATAAAACTGTTTAAGTACCTACTTGGATAAATAAACTTTGATTTTAATTGTGCAATTATTACCCAAGGAAGATTATTTTTAGTTTGTTTAACTTTTTATTAAAGAGATCTTTAAAATGTAAGCTGTATTGTATTGAAAATTCTAAAAATCCTGAGATTTCATAAGATTTGCAAAATTCAGCCGCAATCCTGTGAAAGGTCTAAAAATCCTGAAATCTCAGGACAAATCCTTAGATATGGTAACCCTAAGTGGAAGGCTGTACCAAGAATAATATATTTTTTATTCAATATAGATTACACAAATACTTATTGAAAGTTATTTATGCTTTTACCACCGGTTTAGACAAAACCTTTGTTGTAGGAAGAACATTTATTTACAATTTAATGTGTTGTACAATTTGATATGAAAACATTTAAAAACAGCATGTTATCGATGATCTCATTCCTAGGGGTTATATATCCACTCGTCTGTCAAAACAAAATAGCCGTTATCTATCATGTACCTTTTAGTTGGATAATAACCCTACATAAATAATTTTAGTCCTGCATATTTTCTAGAAATTTGTTGTAAAATTGTATGCATTGCCCCTATAAATGCTATCAGTAATATAATTTTTATCGATAAAGTAGGTATGGGTGATATTGGATCAGATGTCAATAATAAATAATAATTAATATAATAACCACACTGTTGAAACAGACAGAACGTCACAAGCGCAGTGTGTTTTTTCATAGGTAAAATAAAAAAAGAGGTCCCAATGCACCTGATAGAATTGAATGGTGCGGACCATAAACACCTACCTACATCCACGTCATCTAACGCTCATAAAGAATCAAAATATAAATGAGTTGTCATTAAAACTGTAGCAAACCGTATGTATTCGGTACTGAGTAACGGGTCCGCCATCTAGTACCGAGTAACGAAACGTTACACATGAATGTCTTTCGTTACTCGCATTTTTCGTACTATGGGTACCTACACTGTTTCAGTTCACGCAAGTACCGCTGATACGTGATGCGTGTATATGTTTTACGCATGCGCACACTTATTCGGTGAATTTGAAAACATACGTTACAAAGAGCGATGATTGTTTATTAGGTAAAGTATAATTTGGAAATTCGTCGTCCAAATCTTTTACTACTTATTGAAGGTATTGTGTGTGTACACGAAGTTTTAGATTGGAACATAAGAAGATAAGAAAGTATTTTTTACAAATTAGATAATATCTAATTTGTAAAAAATACTTTCTTATCTTCTTATGTTAACATACATATATTATGTATGTTTTTGTTTTTTATTATCGCCTATTTTCACGTTTTTTTTTTGTTTTTATCTTAAATTAAACTAAATTTAGAATAACTTAAACACAAGTCTGGTTCAACATACGCCGCGACGTCATACTGTACGCGTACGCAATACGACTCGATTCGATGCTCTAACATAACAGCATGTTGTGAGATATCAGTACCTCGAGCACGAATAATAAACAATTGCGTCAAGAATTCGTATAGAGTAAACTAAGCGAAAACTTTTACCTAACTGTGACTAAAGTCGTCGGCAGCACGAACGCTTATCTTTTATTCAAGTGTACTCGATACTATATTGTAACTAAATGTAAACAAAGCTTAGAACTCAATATTAAAACGAACGAATGAAAATGAATGATACGTTTATAAATTGCTATCATTGTATTTGTGGAGTTTTTTCTTGTGCGTAAAAATAAGAAAACGTAATGAAACTTATTAATAATAGTGTGTTAATTAATGTTAAACAGTTATTTGACAAAACACTATTTATATAATTATATATGGAGAAACTTTTTTTATGTTTATAAAACTATGTTTCACCTTTTATGAATTGTGATTTCCGAACGCGGATTTCTTAAGATAAACACTTGACTTCGCTCCGCTTCGTGTTGTTTTAGTAGCTTTGTGTTTTGAATTTGTTTTTGTTAATTCCTGATAAATGTTATAATGATGTCGTCAAGAACTAGCCACACACACTTTACAATAATGGTAGAGTTAATGGAAAAGTAAGTAACTATATTGAAACAACAGTTTTGATTGTATTTTAGTCTATATGTTTATTGTATATTGACAGTGATTTATTCTGTTAAATAATGAATATTGTTTGTTTCCAAGGAACGGTGATTTATCGAAACCACAGAATGACGACAGTGGTGTATTATAAAGTGCAAGGAGCTATGTGATTTACTTAACAGCCAAGGAATCGGAGTCTCGCAACGAAGAGAAGTGGCGAAAAGTAAGTGCTAGTCTTATTTTTCTAAAACATTCAATATCAATCAAGAGCGCTTTAGTGAGAATTTTGGGTTCATTATCGTTTTATTTGGTTTGCTTAAGATGTGGAGTGATTTAAAAAGATAGTGGGCAAAACCTTCTAGACAATTAAATTAATATGAAAAAATATGTCTCACATACTTAGAGAACAGGGTGCTTTAACATAGATAGAACTTTAGTAATAATCACTGTAGAAACTTTAATTTTAACATCTTAATATTAATTATTAACACATACTCGTACTTTCTCCTTGAAAATATATCATTCAGAAGATATTAATGTATATGAATAATAACTTCAGAATAAGACTAATATCTTATTATTTTACAGGTAGAATAATCTGCCGGAATTAATAAAACAGTATTCTATACTCGCAAAGCCACAAACAGAAAATTTAATAATTGTACCATCTGAAATTCCCGCTATAGGTACGTCTTCAACTACTCTTGTGTATATTAACTATTGCAATTATTAAATATAAAAAATATGTAATAATAAAATATGTAATAGTAATAGTTTCATGATGTAAGTGATACTAGTGTGTAATCATGAGTCCTGTTTATTTTATAAATTAAAGAAATCATAATAATAAAGTACTTATAATTCAAATTAGTTATTACATCTTTTAACTTTCAAATATTTTTAACAATATAAAAAGGAAATATCTGTGAAAATAATGTAGAAAGTTCAAGTTTTTCAATTGATCTTTTCAGATGATGAGGACTGGAACACTCCTGGCGGCAGCAAGGATTCAGTACTTATACCTCCATCCAATCCCAGATTCCTAACAATAACCAGATCCCAAACACCTCCAAAATCTACCACACCGCCGAAATCTCTAATTGTCCTACACAGGCAACAGAATATTTTTTTGAGTGAGGAGAATATAAGGAATGATAATAAGGAAAGTTAGGGATTTGTATAATTAGAACGAGAGAGGATACTACAGAGAACTTTGTCAACATGATACTGAGCTGAGGTGCAAGCTCAGTGTAATAATGTATAAATAATAATAATTGTACATGTTTTTAATAAAATGTCTCATTGAAATTTTGTACTTGTACTTTTTTATTTGAACTTAATATTAATATCGGAAAAAATAGACTACACTTAAAATCTAAAGTCGTAATAACAAAAACAAATCAAAACATTATTCAAACTGTGTAGATATGCCTACAACACAATAGAGAATCAATTTAATTACAAAAATTGGATTCAATAGAAATAGAAATGGATTTTTTCTTGTCCAGTATACATTATAAATAGTACTTATTTAAGATCATTCTAATGTTTAATTTACCACTGGTTCGGAAAATACCTGTGTCCAGGAAAGAATAATTGTTTACAGTCATATATTATGTTACACAATTAACTATAAGTGGTATTAGAAATAACTTAGTAGAAACTACCTCATTCCCAGGGGTTATTTGCCATTCATAAATTCCTTAATACATATTAACATAACCCTTTTTATTTATATTTGCTTAATATTTTTTTGATCTTGGCAGTGGTCGAAATTTTGAAATATTTAATTTAAATTATGAATAAAGTAATAAATAAATAATTGTTAGATTATTATTAATATAAAAATTAAATCTGGGCATAAACGCAAATTACATACAGAAGAATTACATTGCACTAAGTCTATCCCTACAACAATTCCTCTCATAGCACGACCTCTTACTAACCCTGACTACTGTTACTTCTTATAATGCATAAATCTGGTTGCTCATGTGATCATTTAAATTATTACCGTACATATCTGCCTCTGGGTCTGATACTCCAAATAGCATAGCTATATTACGTAGGACACAACGAGCTATAACTATAATAATTTTGGTGTATTTTTTCGGGTTTGTAATGCAGATTGCGATCCCTGTTTACGCTTTTTCATTCATTAACAAAGCTAAAAATAAAATATTGTAAGTAAGTACTTTTATGACGTCTCTCTCAGCCCTTGAAGTGGGGAACCTGATAAAGTTATTGGTTATTATTTATTGGCTGTTAAGTGCCTCCGTAACTTGAGACATATTTGCTAACACTTGTTTGAACCAAATTCTTTCTCGTACCAACTAAACGTTAAGAGCCTGTTGCGTTAAATAATAACGCACAAAGAACCTAAAATATAAATGAAAAAAATATGAGGTTAGGTGCATAATAACTACAGCAGGTTTAATACATACAACAATACATAATTAATTCCGAGCATTATTTTTTTTATACCTTAAGCTCTAAGCTTATTCTTTTATTTTAGAATTTATATATAATAAGTATCCCTGTCAAGTTTATTTTAGAGCGAATTTCAAGGCAAGGGAATTTAAATGCATTTTACTTAATCGT